TTCTTCTTCTTCATCCTCATCCTTCTTCTTCAACATCATCATCATCCTCATCCTCTTCTTCTTCTTCTTCTTCCTCACCATCATCCTCTTCTTCATCCTCATCCTCTTCTTCATCCTCATCCTCCTCTTCTTCTTCTTCATCCTCATCCTCTTCTTCTTCTTCTTCTTCTTCTTCCTCCTCATCCTCATCCTCATCCTCTTCTTCTTATTCATCCTCATCCTCTTCTTCTTCTTCTTCTTCTTCTTCCTCATCCTCTTCTTCTTCTTCTTCCTCATCTCTTCTTCTTCTTCTTCTTCTTCTTCTTCTTCTTCTTCTTCATCTTCTTCTTCATCCTCATCCTCATCCTCTTCTTCTTCTTCTTCTTCATCCTCATCTTCTTCATCCTCATCCTCTTCTTCTTCTTCTTCATCCTCATCCTCTTCTTCTTCTTCCTCATCATCCTCATCCTCATCCTCTTCTTCTTCTTCTTCCTCATCCTCTTCTTCTTCTTCCTCATCCTCTTCTTCTTCATCCTCATCCTCTTCTTCTTCTTCATCCTCCTCATCCTCTTCTTCTTCTTCCTCATCATCCTCATCCTCATCCTCTTCTTCTTCTTCTTCATCCTCATCCTTCTCTTCTTCATCCTCATCCTCCTCTTCTTCTTCTTCTTCTTCATCATCCTCATCTTCTTCTTCTTCTTCATCATCCTCATCCTTGCCATCATCCTCTTCTTCTTCCTCATCCTCTTCTTCTTCTTCGTCCTCATCCTCTTCTTCTTCTTCATCCTCTCCTCTTCTTCTTCATCCTCATCCTCTTCTTCTTCATCCTCATCCTCTTCTTCTTCATCCTCATCCTCTTCTTCTTCTTCTTCTTCATCCTCCTCTTCTTTTTCATCCTCATCCTCCTCTTCTTTTTTTCATCATCCTCATCCTCTTCTTCTTCTTCTTCTTCTTCCTCACCATCATCCTCTTCTTCTTATTCATCCTCATCCTCTTCTTCATCCTCATCCTCTTCTTCTTCTTCTTCTTCCTTATCCTCTTCTTCTTCTTCTGCCTCATCCTCATCCTCTTCTTCTTCTTCATCCTCATCCTCCTCTTCTTCTTCTTCTTCTTCATCCTCATCCTCTCTTCTTCTTCTTCTTCTTCTCTTCCTCTTCCTCTTCTCTTCCTCTTCTTCTTCCTCTTCCTCTTCTTCATCCTCTTCTTCTTTTTCTTCTTTTTGTCTTCCTCTTGCAGGTCACTGCTCATGCGCAGATTTTTTATCGGCAAAAAATCGTCCGATTTGCCCACTATTGCCGCGAAAATCGGCCGATTTTTTTTTCCAACTTTACAGAAAAAAAAAAAACGGCCAAAATACCGTAAAACGGCCGACCAAATAGCCCACTAACGATCCGAAAATCGGCCGATTTTCGACCCATCTATGGCCTGCATTAGGGCCACAGAGACTTTAGGGCCACAGAATCGTTACTCAGGGACACAGAATCGTTACTCAGGGACACAGAATCGTTACTCAGGGACACAGAATCGTTACTCAGGGACACAGAATCGTTACTCAGGGACACAGAATCGTTACTTAGGGCCACAGCTATCAAAGAATCGAAAATTTAAAGTGACAAACACCCTTTTTTTTTTTGGTGGCTGTCATGCACAGTTGGTGCTGCAGTTTGCCGATTGTGCAAAATAAACTGACTTTCTGCTTCACAACCACTATTGTACGTTCAAAGAGTTAAATCCATTTACACGCCGGCTGGCGGTAATATTTTTTGGGTGATTAGTGCATTCCAGTGACACAAACGTACAGTTTACAGCCAACGGCAAGCTGCAATTGACCGATTGTGTACAATAAACTGACTTTCTGCTTCACAACCACTATTGGCCTTCAATTGAAGCTGCTTCCGCTCCGTCACTCTGCCATTGGACTCTTGATAGTCGTCTCCCCACACTGCTGCTGGGGGGACTTTTTAACATAGGCCTCTGTATGGCCTTCAATTTAAGCTGCTTACGCTTCGCCACTCTGCCATGGGCCCCTGTACCGCCTCCTCATGCTGCTGCCAGGTCCAGAGTGTGTCATGGGTCCCTGTACGGCCTCCCATTGCTGCTGTCTCCATCGCCACACTCTGCCATGTGCCACTTTCAGGTCTCCTCACACTGCTGGTGGGTTCCATTTTGTCATAGGGTGCTGTATGGCCTCCCATTGCTGCTGCCTCCACCGCCACACTGTGGCTCCACACTCTGGTTTTGGCCCCGTGACTGCCCAAATGAGTGAAGTGTGCGGTGATTCTAAGATTGACGGCACTCATCTGCATGTCATACTGACTGACAGTATTATTTCTCTTCCCCAGCAGACTCCAAGGGCATTTAAATTAAAGGTACAGTGTTCTGCACTAATATAAAGGCTCTCTGAAGCCTAGAAACCCTTTTAATAATTTAAATTCGCAGCGAATAAATTCGCATCGAATCGAATTTATTCCGCAAATTCGGCGAATCAGCCGAATCGAATTTTTGAATAATTCGCTCATCTCTATTTGCAATGTTTGAACAGACATACAAAAAACATTATCTTTAATGTGCAAATCACAGCTCTATACAGTGTAACTGTTGACCAAACGAATGAGTAATAACCTCACAACTAGTGAAAGTAAAACAGTGAAAACAATCTGTGCAGTTAATAATAAAAGTCCTTAAATGCATGAATAATAAACGCATGAAAAAGAAAATAAAATCAGAAAATCAAAGTGATTGCTGCTGATACATCAACTAGTGCTTTTCACCATACTTTAGCATAATATGTAATGTCCTCCACAATGCAGCACAATCCCATCGAATAACGTGACAGTCCTTATTCAAAACAATATAATGGTCCTTCAATATCCAATAAAACTGTATTTCCTCCACCACTGTGATTTGATTTATCTCTTCTTTCCTCTTTCTCAAGCTCTGTGACACATGCAAATACCCAGTGATAATATGCGCTCACCTTGTGCAATGGATCTCAGTACAAATCAAAGTCATAACACACTTGTTGCCCCACCTTGGATATATGTTGCATCAACTATTCCTCTTGCTCCTTACTCCTCAATATTCCTCACCATGGATACATCACATTCAAAAACAGAATTGGAGTACAAAAGTTCTAATTGAATAGTAACAGCGTGGCTCCAAATCCTGTACGTGTTACGCCTCTGAGGTTGAGGAATCTCTGGTAGAGGAGCACAGTGTGTACAGATTTTGGAGCCGCACAGTGGGTATGACACTACTGGCTGTACTAACCACTATGACCCATGTTTATTCATGCTGAGATACATAGCATTGTGGGTGCCTTTTGAAAAGCATTTATTTTGGGAGCTTTTAATTCATTTTTACTATTCAGAGATTCTGTTCTATTTTCGCATGTGAGGACTCCATCTCAGTTCACATGCCCCTCCTACCCTGCCCTCTCTTTTTTGGTGGGACTGTGTGGAGGGGGTAGAGAGAGAAGGAAAGAGAGAGAGAGAGAGAGAGGGGGGGAGAGAGAGAGAGATTGATCGCCTCCATGCCACACTGTATTGGTGCAGTAATTCATGCAAAAGGAGTGCTGAGTTACTGATTTTTAGGATATCACTAGCTGTAAGTAGGGATGGTCTATAGGTTCTAGTCACAAACCTAAAGGGTCTGGTATAGATTAGGAAGGGAACCACTAGCTGTTTTTTTTTATAAAAATTTAATTTTTAAAAAATATCAGTCCTGCTGCAGCAGTTCCTATACATTAAAGAAGAATTCCTCTTTCAATTATTCCAAATCGAGAGAATGAGAGGGGTCAATTATTGTTTATTTTACATTTATTTATTCATATATAATTACTTTTTTAAAACATATTTTCATTTGAGCAAAAAATTGCGCAAAACATGCATTAAAATGGCATAAACGTGCCAATTGCTTGTTTCTATTATTTTCTATGAAAATAAAAATGTGCCACAAACATGCAAATCTGCGAATTTGAGCTACAAAAGTAGCTCCAAAACTTTTTTGAGCTTCAGGCATTCTGCTTCAGGTGACTTGGAGTGGAGATGGGAACCATCTCCATAGAGGAATATTGATTTTTTTCCCTCAGGTGTGAATGAGGACTAAATACACAATGCCGCCCACAACTCTTCCCCAAACTACATTACTATCCTAGTCTTGAAATATCATCCACACTATTCAATTCTTCCAAGATCTCCTACACTCTTTCTCATCACCTCCTCCAATCTTTTCTATGATGCCTCTCTTTGCTGCCTGTGCCCCTGAATTTCTTTTTAAGGACAGCTCACAATATAGTTGTATGGTGCATGCACGAGATGGAGCACATGATGTCATTTGGTTCATCTTATGCATTTTTCCAAGGTCTCACAAGGCTTTTTTTTTAACAGATGATTGTAATGTCATACAGTGCATGCACAAGGTGAGCCACTTGAGGTTGAGTTCTATATTGCAAAATATGAAAATGCTGTAAAATGTCACAGATTAGATAGAAAATCTCACTAAAGGTTACTGATAACATTGCCTTTCCAGGGTGCATCAGTGCCTTCAAGGAAACCAAAAAGTGGGTATAAGAAAAAAAGTAAATAAATAACAGTGTTAGATGAGTTCACATCAGCCTGCTTGCTAATGTGAATTTTAGTAAAAGGAGGGAAAGATCTTCTTTAACCACTTGCCTACCAGGCACTTATACCCCCTTATTTACCAGGCCAATTTTCAGCTTTCAGCCCTGCCGTACTTTGATTGACAATTGTGCGGTCATGCAACATTGTACCCATATGAAATTTTGATAATTTTTTTCTCACAAATAGAGCTTTCTTTTGGTGGTATTTAATCGCTGCTGGGCGCTTTACTTTTTGTGCTATAAATGAAAAAATGCAAAAAATTTGAAAAAAAAAAAAAGTGTCTTTGTTTCTATTATAAAATTTTTCAAACAGGTAATTTTTCTCCTTCACTGATGTGCGTTGATGAGGCAACACTGATGGGCAATGATAGGCGGCACTTATGGGCACTGATAGGCAGTACTAAAGGGCACTGATAGGCAGTACTAATGAGGTGGCACGAATAGGCGGCACTGATAGACAGCACTAATGAGGTGGCACGGATAGGCGGCACTAATATGCAGCACTGATAGGCGGCACTGATAGGTGACACTGATGATGGGTACTGACTGGCATCACTGCTGGGCACTGACTGGCAGCACTGACTGGCACAACCACTGGGCACTGACTGGTGGCACTGACTGGCAGCACTGCTGGGCTGCACTGGTGGGTGGCACTGGTGGGCAGCACTGGTGGGTGGGCACAGGTGGGTGGCACTGGTGGGCACAGGTGGGTGGGCGCACAGGTGGGTGGCACTGCTGGGCACAGGTAGGTGGCACTTCTGGGCACAGGTGTGTGACACTGCAGAGTGGCACAGGTGGGTGCATTTCTGGGCACAGGTGGGTGCACTGCTGGGCACAGGTGGGTGATCTGCTGGGCACAGGTGGGCGAAGCTAGTAGGGCGCACTGCTGGGCACAGGTGGGCGGAACTTGTGGGTGGCACTGCTGGGCACCGATCATCAGGGTACTGATCATCAGTGCCCTGATGATCTGTGCCGATCCTGGCTCTGACAACTGCCGATTCTCGGCAGTACTTTCCTCACGATCTGACAGCGTGAGGAAAGTGCAGCCGAGAACCGGCAATTGCATTTCCCTGTGATCAGCATGTCATTGGACACCGCTGATCACGTGGTAAAAGGCCGCTGTGAATGGCCTTTTACCACATCATGTGATCAGCTGTGTCCGTAGGACACAGCGATCACGGAGATCGCCGGGTGCGCGCCCCCTGGGGCGCGCAGGAGAGTGCGTTCTGGGAGGACGTCATATGACGTCCACCCAGATCTGGCCGGCCGCAGTGCAGCCGTCATTTGGCTATCTGCGGTCGGTAACTAGTTAATTATAATAGATATTAATTTCTGCTATACACCAATATCAATACACCAACTGCTACACTTCCAAATATAAATATCATACTTATATCATTAACCTAACATTATCATATAAGCATTTATTAATGCAAATTAACCATTAGTAAAATTCTTTCCCTTATTAGAATTCTTGAACAATCTCTTTTCCTAATACTTTTTTTTTTTTACACTACATTAAAGTACCCTTATCCTTCAAAGAAATGTATTAAATAACAATAAACTATAATAAATTACTTCTAGTTACAATACATAAAGTTAGCAATAAAGTAAAAAGAAAACCATGGCACACTATTGAACAAATAGTGACAAAAAGTCACTCATGAATATATTATACAGTAAATAAACACAAGAGGGCACCAACTAAGTGTAGCCAATTTAATAAAACATAATGGTTTAAAATAAAATGCACTCACTGCATTATAAAAGAGGTAGACATATCTGTCATGTAACTTGTGAGGTCCTCTGGGAAGGGGCTGTGATGTGCAGAGTTCTGCAGGGAGGCTCCCTGCCAAACTCTGCACATCACGGCTGATACATTGAAACTCAACACACAGAAGAAATGATCCTTATCTTACTTTCAACTTAAATGCACAAATTCTGTTGACTATATTGTTCATGATGAACAAAAAGAACTAACAACCACAAAAGGGATGGAAGAAAATACTCAGCTAGTCTAAAGGAAAGCAGTCACAAAAAAATTATACATTACAGAAAAAAGGAAAAGTAGCAAAACATGTAACAATTACAAAATATATCCCACATTTAAAGTGCATACAGCAGAGATGGAAAACTGTTTAAGTCCTAAAGTATAAGGAATACATTTTTTTTGTTTTGGATAGAGTGGAGAAAGATTAGAACAGCTGGAAGGTTTACGTTGTTTTCTGTGCCCCCATTAGTTCTGCTTACCATTTTTATTGAAAGTGAAAGTGACAAATAATCCCAAATTTTGGGTTGTCATCAGAGCAGAATTCTTCACCAGAAGGGAAATCTTTAAATGAGTACATTAGTTCCAATGACCCTGATGACAACCAGGGATTCCCTCTAGTTGGAAGGATTTTCTCTCATCTTCCTGTTTTGGATATGGGACTGGAAGTGAAGAAAAATGTCCACAATGGGACACAGACGAAAAAAAACAAGTGTCAGTGGTTATAACTCTACCTTACTCTATCCAAAATAAAAACGTTTTTTCTTTAGTTCTATTTCAAGCAAAAAATTAATAGTAAACACTCCAATCACTAACTCATACATAGAGATAAATTGAGGAAATCAATTGCATTTGGGAGGCTCCATGTGCACAAATATGTTCAAATAGGACATATGGGCATTCAAAGGTTAACCCCTTTGCACAGGCGCCTCCCGGCCCTTTAAGAGTTTCAGAAACAGGGAGGCGGGGTGGGGTTTTAGGGTCATGAATGCTGTAATTCACTGTCATGGTGGTCACATGATTGTTAAAGGTCCTGATCGCAAGGGGAGATTGGGAGCTTTCCGTGAGTCACAGACACGTGCTGGGAGCACGCAGGGCACGTGCTCTCAGCACATATGTATTTTCAAATGGTACGGAAATATGCGGCCACTCAGCATCAAGGCCCAGATGCCGAGATGCATGCACTCAGCGTCTAAGGGTTAAAGAGGGTTGTTTAGCTAAGATATAATATTTATGTTTAAAGTAAGTAAAATAAGTGAAGTGTCTTTCTGGACCTTAAATCATCAAAAGTGAAATGTTTGCAGGTAGTTGGGTTGCTAAGTGTCTAAGTTTGAAATAATTTAGTTAGGGTCCAAGATACCGTAGACAGACTTTCCGGGATCTCTGGGTTATATAAAAATTGGTCAAACCAGAGAGTCTGTCTACGGTATTTAGTGCTGTTTACATTTCTTGTATATCTTTAATGTGTAAGCTACAGATTCCAGAAAGTGATGGATTATGGATTTGAAGTATTTGTCATTATTAGACCATATTAAAGAGTTGTGAAGTACTGGGATCTATTGTCCTTTTTCTATCTCTGTCCAACAATTTGGGGCGTTTAGAGATGACTAGGATGTTACGTGACAGATATGTGTTGCATGATAATATTTAATTAAGTCAGCTACATTCAGCCTTCCCTTTGTTTTCAAAGAATAAAGGACAGAGCTGGCAATTCTGTGAGCCTTATTATGCCATATAAATTTAGTAAAGGCTCTTTGTAAGTTGCATAACTGTAACATGGGTACTGGGACAGAGTGAGTCTCCAAAAACTATCACAATTTAGGGAGTATGGACATCCTAATAGCTATAATATGCCCAAGTAGAGATAGCTTATCCCTATCCCATTGTTTTAATAGTAGGTGGATGTCTTAAAAAGAGGAGGCAAATTAGCGTTAAATAGAGCAGAGTATGTAGGGACAATGTTGGTGCCAAAATATTGCATTTGATTGAATGTTGACATCAGTGATAATGTGCTTGCAATTTGTATGGGGTATGTGAGTGGGTAATTTGACTAAATTCCTCAAAAACATGATGTAATGTTTGGAAAGTAGTATGCATGCTAGTGAAAGTAAATAATATATCATCTGTGAATACAGAGAGTTTGTTCTTTATGTCTGATAGGAATCCCACATATTTTCTCATTCGATAAGTTAGCCTCAGATAATGGTTCTAAGCAAAGAATATAAACAATAAGGGAGATAACTGTCACCCCTGTCTTGTACCGTTAAACATAGTAAAGGTGGAGGACATTGCAGGGGTGAGTTTATCCTGCAATAAAAGGGAAAATATAAGGCCTGGGGTGCTCTAAATAACTGGCCTTTGAGACCAATATGTTATAAATTAGAAAACATATACAGCCATCTAAGCCTATCAGAGGCTTTTGAGTGTCTAGACTCAGTAACTGGCTGGGGGTGGCATGTTTGTTTACCACATATTAAATCTATGGTCCACCAGTATTTGAGAGAGTTTACCTAAAATCTTTGTAAAAATTTTGAGCTTAGAATTGAGTAACACTATAGGTCTATAGTTAGCTACACATGCAGTATTTAGCAGGTTTAGATATTACTGTTATATAAGAATGAAGGAATTGACAAATGGGGCATTTCCCCTTAAGTAAAGTGTTATAAAGGTAAAGAAAGTGAGAGGCCAAAATAGGTAGAAATAGTTTATGAGTAAGGGACCAGGTGAGGGCATTAAGCTCCTCCATAGTGTCTGTTTAGTCCAGAAAAGGGATTTCTCAAGATTGGTCATACCAAGTGCTTTAATCTGGTTGCGTAAAATGGCAGCTATGCAAAGGTGAGCTACAGTGGGGGGAATGCAATTCTTGATGTTCTTCTTTGGTCAGTTGGTGTTGGAGCATACGTTTATATTGATTATTGTGTTTAAAGGAAAAGTTCACCCATATTCAAGGTGTAACATGTTACTGTAGCACCAGCCCCCACATACCCCCGACTCCCCGTTTGACAGCGAGCGGGGGTATCTGCTCCCCCTGCTCTCTGTCACAATTTTAAAAAAAGTGACTGTGTGGGACTCTGCACACAAAGTTCTGTGAATGTGAAATCTGTACGTACCGATAGCCTTTGTGACTGTCAGCTTGTAGTTCTCAATGAACCACCATGATGCTGTTGAGTGCTCTGGTAGTTCATTGATTCTTTCTGTCAGTGTGAAACTGACCCTTATGGTGTACGAGCAGACAGCTTACACTAATAGTCTGTAGGAGTCCTGCATGGCACCCACGCTCTGCTGATCACTGGTGCAATGCTTTCCGTGCTCCTACAAAAAAAAAATAGTAAATGCACATTTTTTTACCTGTAAAAAAATGTGCATTTATTATTCTTTTTTTTAAAGTGAACGTATCCTTTAAGACAAGCCCCAAATGACATACAATGTCCTCTAAAGAAAGCCTTATCTGTCCCCACAGGTTAAATGCCTTGGTCATAGTAAGAAGACATGAAGATTGATTGAATTAGTTAAAGGCATGCTGTAGAAAGAGATTCTGGCTATTATTTGGAGTATAAAAATTCAATAACACAAGGGATTTGCCTGTTAATATACACTTAAGCAGAATATAATGCCCTTGAGGATGTAAAATAGAAAAGGTGACTCTTAAGCTAGCCAGACATTTTTTCTTTCATTCAAAAAAGTTAACATATTCCCCCATCCACACATTCCATGTGGATGGGGGAATCCCTCCTGCTGTGCTATTGTTTTCTGCCAGCAGGAGCCTCCCCATTGGCAGCATACAATGATCAGTGTTGCCAGCTGTAGCTGGTGGCACTGATCATTCTTGAAAAACCTGAAAGGTTGGTTACAAGTCGATTGTGTCTCTACTGAGCTGGACGAATTTTGATCAATGTACTGTATGGCTGGCTTTAGGGAGGATGTGCTTCTAATTAAAATGGCAAATCAAGCCTTACCGGAGGGGTTTGAGGCTTAAAAAGAAACTTAAAAGAACCCACTTTACGAAAATGGGCTTCTTGTACAAAAATCACTTC